GCCATTTGGAGGCAGCCACTGATCCCGGGCACCCTGTGGAGGTCACTCCCACCGGGAGGGCAGGGGCCCGGGGTCAGTGGCTGCCTCCAAATGGCTCGGCTGGAGGCAGCGCAGGAGTTCGTAAGTCAGGCTGGTGGCGAGTTACCTGGGCGCCGAGGACACGGTTGCTGAAGCTTCCAGGAGAGAGCGGTGTGAGCGCCGGCCACGTGTCGCTGTGCCCGTCCGCTCTCTGGAAACCCAGGGCCCTCCCCCTGAGGCCGGCGGTCCGGCAGGAGAGGCGGCCACATGGAAGCTAGGCGGGTAATTCTGTGAGTGTGGGCAGCGTAAATCGGTGAGGACGGAGCTCGTGGGCGCGAACGGCCAGAGGAGTGTGTCCACCCAGTGGGATCGGGAAGCGGTTTCTAAGGAGGTGACGTTTAGCTGCGCCCGGGAGGCAGTTCACCAGGCAGACGTGTACGTCCTCGCGTGGGCCTCTGTGTGGGCTTGGTGTGCAGGTGCCAGGGGTCGCCAGAGTTTGGGGGGGGGGGGCTCGGGGGCGTCTGCGTTTCCATTTTATAGTCGTCGTGTGTATCTGTGTCTCAAGTGTTCGGTGACAAGCTTCCTGCTTTCTCAGTTCAGAAGAGAGCGTTAGCAGCCGTCGCCCGCAGCCCGCACGTCTGTGCTCTGTGTTCTTTGCGTTTCTCTGTGGTTCCTGGGTTTTGGGGTAGCGAGCGCGTCTCCCAGTTAAGAAAAGCGGCAGAAGGACCGCGCTGAACCAGTAGCAGGGGCGGCGGTGTGGGCCCGACCGCGGGAGCCCCTCCGCTGACGCCCGGTCCCTCTGCCTTCCAGGGAAGACATCTGGTTTGATGACGTCGACCCGGCGGACATCGAGGCGGCCCTGGGCCCGGAGGCAGCCCAGATAGCAAGGAAGCGACTGGGGCAGAGCGAGAGCAGCATCGCGCTGGTGAAGGAGCAGGCCTTCGGCGGGTACGCGGGGCCGGTGCCCAGCCGGGGAGGGCGAGGGTCTCGGGCAGGGGCTCCCCCCACGCCCCCAGCGGAGTCGGGCACGTGCCGCCCCATCCTACGAGGAGCCCTGAGAGCCAAGCTGGTCTCCGGGCGGCGGGGGGGCGCAGCGTTGAGTAAGTGGGACCTTCGGCTCCCTTCAGCCTCACTAGAGCCTTAGCCATAGACTGTGAGATGGTGGGCGTGGGCCCCGAGGGGGAAGAGAGCGTCGCCGCCCGCGTGTCCATCGTGAACCAGCATGGGAAGTGTGTTTACGACAAGTGCATCAAGCCCACCCAGCCGGTGACGGACTACAGGACGGCGGTCAGCGGGATACGGCCGGAGAACCTCAAGCAGGGTGGGTCCTCCCTGCTG